GACCCACGCACACTGTCAACTGTTCCACTGTCTGCTCTTTAGCACATGGAGATGGTCACGTTGATGCCCAGGTTGCCGTTCTCGGCGAACAGCTGGGCGATGGACGTGTCAAAGACCAGGCAGTCGCTGTTCATAATGGCCGTGGCGATGCCCTCGTGGATAGAGCGGGGCGTGGCCTCCCAGGTCAGGCGACGCCGGTGACCGTTGAGCTCTAGCCTGTAGGCAAAGTTCTCGGCCTGCTTGCGAGTGCCGATGAGCTGCACGATGGCGAAGAACTGCTGGTGGCCGTCGTACTTCTCCTGCTTCTCCAGCACCAGCATGAAATGGAAGCCGAAACAGGACTGCATCATCACCCAGTCCACCGCGCCGGGGAGGTTGATGTCCGTGGCCAGGAACACGATGTCCTCGCCCTGGACAGAGGAGAGACAGAGGGGACGGACAGACGGACGTTAGCACCAGGGTCTGACGGTAGAAACCTTGATACCAGACAAATGTATCTGACTGAGATACTGTTCCTGCTGCTTCAACAGCATTTTCAAGCACCTTCTCCAAAATTCAAGGTCTCATAAACCATAAAACAAAACTTCAATAATAGTGTGATTTTCATGATACTCCAAATAAAGACAAACCCCCCCCACGTGGGTGTGTATGTGAGCAAATGAGCTACAAACTATAAAAATACTAATGAATATAAAAAAAACTGCATGATAAAAATCTGTTAAAAATGTATTGATTTATCCCTAATATAATCATACGCACATACATACATATATAGACATATGTATATATATATATACACATATCGTATATACACATATATACATACATATATATACATACATATATATACATACATATATATACATACATATATATACATACATATATACACATATATATAAATATATATATCCACACTTAATTTAACATTTAAAAAAATGAATTACTTTAAATATTAGTGTTAAAATATGACAATGTTCAACTACATTTTCTGACACCAGTCTTCCATATTCGCACGACTCCTCGGAGAACAGAATGATCTTACTCAGCCCGCTCTGATTCCTCCACCTCCCTTTTAACTTCGCAGTTTCACCGTTGACACAAACGTCACGTGACGGCTCCCAGCAGCTAACGGACGCTCGAGTTCACGTCTGTGCCGCAGGAGAAACAAATTGCTGAAGACTTGAGCTGCGTGGGAACTAAGTGATGACACGTCACAGGCAGAGAGCCAAAACATGTCCAGTCTGATGGGGGCCCAGCAGGGCATCGACCTCAAGTCTAGAAAACTTCAACAAAAAAAAAAAGAAAATCTTCTACTGGGGTGAAAAACAGATTTGGCTAAAAAAAAGAAAGAAAAAAGTGCATATACAGCTGACTTGTTCTCACAGACGACGCCCAGAGACGGTCCAAAAAATTAAGTGTTTGGACAATATCGGCATATCGTGATAAGTCAACATCAGACGTACCTAATTATAACTTTTTCTTTTTTTCCTGCCTATTTGAAAGGTTGTTAATTCAGCCTTGTTCGGAGTCAAACCTGCAGCGTGGTGATGGACTTGTGCTGGTGCATCAGGTGAGGCATGACGGCGTCCAGCGAGCCCTGCCACTTGCAGGAGGCGCCGGGACAGGGGCAGGAGTACGGCCGGAACTCGCACAGCTCTTCGTGCTCCGTCTTCTCGGTGTGAGGCAGAGTGATTTCGCAGCCCGACGAGGCGTATTTGCAGGGGAAGAGGACTGAGTTGGCTACCTTCTCCATGGCCAGGTTCCTGATGGAGCCCAGGGGCCCTCGGCAGGTGGGGCAGCAGGTGAGTTTCGGTCGACAGTTGGAGCATACCTGAAATTAGAAGAGATTCAGATAAGAATACGTCTTTGCCACTTATGGCTCCTTCGCACCAAATGTAAAAGGCAGTGACATCACGCAATTAATTTGATAGCGTTAAATAATGGAAAAAAAAAAAAGTTACAGACATTTTCAGTTGGTGTCAGACATGTGTGTTTACAGACATTTTCAGTTGGTGTCAGACGTGTGTGAAAGACGGAAGGTTGCACCTACCAAATGTCCGGACTGGCACTGCAGGATAGGGGGCAGAACATAGTCGAAGCAGACGGGGCACTCAAACAGACTGGCTAGGTCACTGTTGGAGGCTGTGGTGCCTGAAAGGGTGGGCACACGCTGGGAAGGGGGGCACTTGGAGGTTCCTGTGGGCAGGGCGGTGGCAGTCTGGCGACTCATTTCTGATTTAAAGAAAAGTGGAGAGAGAGAGAGAGAGAGATATTAGGAGGGGAGAGAGAAGTTTTCACACACAAAAATAAAAATCTAGCAGAAACGTTATTATAACTTCTTTGCTTTGTTTACGCCTGTAAAATGACAGCCAATGAAACTGTGGTATAGTACAGACGTCAGCCAATCAAATTACAGGAAACATCAGATCTGAACAGAGCTCTAGGATGATGAGTCACAGCTGGATTGTCCAATAGGAGATTTGTCGCTCGATGACCTACGTGACTTAATCTTCCTGCATTTTTGGAATTCTTGTTTCTCTGTGTGAGCAGATTTAATCAAACTCTTCCAGCTGACTGACTGTCAGGCTTCAGCCACTGCCGTCAATACAAACCGTGTGTTTTCCCCATTCATTCTTAATGGGGCTGTTAATGGTCATTTACACTGAAGGTCCGTACGTATTGTAGCGTAACGGCAACATAAAACCTCGACACCGACCGACGTAGCCCTGGACAACAGCTCTAATGTGAGTAATAAATGTAAAATCCATCGGAGGGTTCAACACTTTTACACCACATCTATTTAACCCACTTGTTTCAAACTGGATAAAATACCCGTCGGAACGCACTCCTGCCGGGTGCCACTACTGCGGGCTGTGGAATGTCTGTGTTTGGGAACAATCCCACGGCTGTATTTGGCAGTAATGGTAATTGCAAACATTTGGAATTAGTCTGAACTCTTTCAACATGACTTACGGTGTTTACACACCGGCAGCAACAGAAGGGAGGCAGAAACTCTCCTCGGAATAAAAAGGGAGAACGGACTGCAGTATTTCTTAACATGTACTACATCTGTTACTGCCCTGGTCACAGTCAGAGATTTACTGATCTCTCTGGAAAAAAAAAAAGACTTTAAACTGAACTCAGATGTGCTGTGTTTGTGTTTATGTGCAGCTGCAGCTGCTTCCTATGGTGCAGTGCTTGTTGCCTTGGTAACGCGTTTGTAGACAGTACGTTTGGCCGGTGGAGCAGAGGACAGCAGAGGCTGAGGAGGCGGCCAGTAAAAGTGATGGACAGGAGGGGACATGTCCGTGTTAAAGGAGTGTGTGTGTGTGTGTGTGTACCAGTCAGGTGACAACGTTCGACCTAAGAGATAGAGACACAGATATCTGTTTTTCAAAAATGTATCCTTCCTAGACCAGATGTTTTTCTAGGAGATGATGGTATCGTTGTACCAGCACCGTCATTGAAACCTGACATTGTTTCGCCCCTTTTTATAGACGCGGACAGAAGGAAGCAGCTGAGGAGGAACCAGGAGAGGAGAGGAGAGAAGGTGTGGGCGGAGCAGAGGATAATACGTGTGGGAGGTGAAGACGTGAGGAAAGAATCAGGTGATGATGAAAGAGTGCGGCAATATGTCAACAGACAATCCAGCAGCTGGGGAATTAACACCCACCAAAGGTGAGTGCTGCCGAAGCTACCAGCTAATTACACAGTTTAAAAGATGTGGGTTTTTTTTGTTTTTTTTTTATAAAAGCACGATGCTCGGAGAACCGGGGGACATGAAAGTGGTCTTTTATTCCTTTATGTACAAAAGCAGCACGAACGTGGTTGTAGAAATCAAACAAATCCATATAAATGCAAAGTGGGTTTTTGTTTTTTTTTTGGCTTTTATCCCTTTTGATAAGAACTCAAAGATGGCAACTACACTCGTCTTTGTGAAAAATTAAAGGATGAGGCTGTGGATTATCTGCACAGTATCATACTTGTTACAATTAGGGATGTATTAGCTTAATTATGTAGTATCAGTAAGAATCTTATTGGTCTTTCCTCCGATAATAAAAACCAGATAACGCAATGCTTAGGTTACGCCCAGATGATGTAATCTAAAAATACATTTGAAGTGAAAGTAAAACTATTAACTCTGCCTTTAACCCAAGTGGCTGCATATATCGGTATTGACTGATGTCAGAATCGGAAAATTAAGTGTTTGGACAATATGGGCAAAAAAGTAAATATCAGACATCCCTAGTTATAATAGTTTTACATGTATTTTTTCCAGAAATAATTCTAAAGCTTTACTTCCACGAATCAAAGCTTGTGTTCGGTTGTTGTTTCTGCTTCTGTTGGGTTGACGACAGAAAGAACTGGTCCGTCTGGGCACAAATCCGCACACGTCCACAACCCTGCCAACTGCGGAGGGCTGTCTGACTGTAAACACATGTGCTGTGATGGAGACACTGCCTTAGCAGCTATTAATAGATCCTCTAAGCTGGTTAGCATGCTATCAGCAGCACCGAGAGCAGAGGGACCAAATTAACTCAGGACATTCTGCTATAACTGAGGCCAGTGTACAGTAAAGCTAGAATGAACATCTAAATGTCCAGCAAACAGCATGCTACCCGTCTGAAGAAGATGTAAGAATAATCTGAAATATTAAAACACATGTATTTGTACCATTATCCTACTTCGACATACTTCTAACTACTATCTTGTTTCCTGCTGTCATAAGAACAGAGCAGGGCTGTCGTGTCCTACTGAACTCTGCAAAAATGCTGCCGCTTTAGAGATGCTGATCATGTGCAGAACTGACTAATGGGCCCCTAAGTCCACATGCAGCAAGAATAATGAATATCGACTGCAGCTAAGTGAGCAGATTTAATGTATTGAATTGAATATGCTCAAAGAGAACAGTGCACTTCCACCCTGACGCCAGGACGTGACGTGGACTGACTCGGTACAACGGCAGAAATGATTTCTTCTGTACGGTAAGAAAATAAAGACCTAAACTAATTTTGAACCAGTCTTGGTGAAGCTCTGATTGGCTGAGTGACTCGGTGATCAACGACCGGAGAACTCAAGTCAGAGCAGTTGTTGAAGAACTCTCTGGAGTCAAAGCAGCGTTCTTCTTCACCACAGGATGACATCATCATGTGCGCATCAGCTGCTACAACTGTTAGTCGGCAGCAAGGGTTGTTGTCTCTGCGGGTTAGGGGGAGGAGGGGGGGGTAATGGGGGTCAAAGCTCAGTATCTCAGCCCTGCCATAAGAACCAAGGAACAAAAAAGCAGACGTTGCTGCTTATGGTGTTAGCAGACATTCAAACGGCCTGAATGTAGAGTTCACTGGACCTGCTGGGATTTACCTCTACCTCTTCCAGAGTGGACACTGCAGACAGCTGGCACCTCATTAAAGAGAAGACCATCTATTTAAAGGAACGCAACACATCCTGGGGTTTTTAGAACAAAGGCAGTCCTGGCAACAATGAAGCAAAGTTTTCCTTTTTTCTTGCCTTTGTGGGCAATAATTGATTTGGACTGGTGGTCCGATAATCCAGGGTACTTTTTACTTAAGCCTTTGGGAGAATTTCCACTCCACTATAAAGGGTTCATATTCCAAAGGTGGGAGATAGAGGAGCATTGACTCTCCAGCACAGCAGTGTGAGGAACATGGCGGCTTTAAGAATGGAAAAGTAACACAAAACACTACAGTCAATGAATCAAACATTGAATATAAAGTCACCGCTATTTTTCATTACAAAACGTTTTGTATGAAGAGTTTTGCGGCTTCAAAGCAAATACAAAATAATGTGGCGAGTGATCTTTAATAATCAGAGGAAAGAACAAAAACTTTTTTTTTTTAAATATATATTTTCTCTTTTAAAGACCTGAGCTTCCCAACAGTCCTTGTTAAATCGTATATTTTCATTAAAAGACCAATCTGGACTGCAGGCAGGACAAGGAAGTGCACTTATTATGTTTCTCAGTCAACATTTAAACCCTGCATCAGCTGACTTCAATTCATGACATTATTACCTTCTTCTTCTTTTTTTGCATTTACTGCAGTTAAATTGAAAAGGCATCTTTGACATGTCTGGGCTCGGGCGGGATAACTTAGCAAAATGTGACAACGCTACAGAAAATTTGAGGAAAATATAGACAAAGACGGAGGACAGACAGAGATAAATCAGTCAGAAAAAAAAAAGACAAAGCCATGTGTTTTTCTGCTTGACGGTTGCTGGGAAAATGCGAATGATGGCTGAAAGAGGAGCAGACGCAAACAATGACTCTGCAAACATCTCTCAGTGTTTGAGAGTGTCAAAGAGAGAAGCCATTAGAAAACAAAAACACACTTGGGTGCGGTTTGTTTTTTTTGTGTCTGTGTGTGTGTTTGTACAAAAGAGAACGTGGTGTTTGTTGGGGACTAACAGTCAAAAACTCAGAGGAGAACACACGTAAACACGGGCGACATGAAACACTGACCTTCGTCCATAAGATTTTCAAGTAAGGCTTTCGTCTTCTCTTGAAATGTGGGGACCTCTGAAAAGACGAGAAGAAAAAGAAGGGGAAAAAAACAAGGTAAAACAGGTGAGTTTGAGGAGAAGAGTGACAGGAAACATAACTTTTGGTCACACTTTGGACTTTCACAATAACTGATTGCTTCTACCACACCGTTTTCCCAAAAAGCAGCAGCACACACAAACACAAACAGAAAATCTGAACACAAACACAAGCAGTTTCAATCACGTAACTGATCAATTATTCAAAGTGCAGTCTGTGTGAACGTTGTTATCATCATCCCTGTGCTAGGAGTTAAAGCATCCCCGGAACTGGAAGAAGAACTTTATTAGCAAAATGTCTAGTGTAGATAATGTACTTAGGCCCAGTGAAACCTTTTACGGTGATGTGAGGCACAGTCACCGTAAAATATATATATATAATATTTTGACTGTAATTCGAGTCTTCTTTTTTTAACATCCTTGTCATTTACAGTGAAAACAAGAGGCTTGGTGTACAACCTTTTTAACACTACCTTGAAAGACACCAAGATTTGAAAGATGTCCTTCATTAATGCTGCCCCTTCACTTAGTTTAACATTCATATTTATCCCCAGACGCCTGGGGTCCCCAACCTCTGGTCCAGGGACTGGTGCAGGTCCGTAGGTCATTTGGTACCAGGTCGCATAGGGACATAGTGAAAAAAATGTACTTCAGTTTTACTAATTTACTTCATTCTAAATTAATCCAGTCATATCCCTTTACTTTTTTTAACGACGGTATTATATTACCGGTCCACAGTAACAGCTGATACCGGCCGACTGGTCCTTGGTACAAAAAAAGTTGGGGACCGCTGCCTTAAAGCATTAACTCTCAAACAAACAAGGCTCACAATCACCCAAAAATGCTGCAGGCATTTCACGATAAAGAAAACAATTATCGTCTTCAGCGTGATTCTGCGGCGTGTGTCGACTTGCCGCAGACAAAACATAAAGATACGCGTTCAATCACTGAATCAACAGATGACAAAGGAGAGCGAGACGGTCTTGTAACATAAAGGATTGTGTGAAAGTAAATATGGAGCAGTGAAGGAAACACAGACGGGTGGTTCAAGCAAACTGAGTATGAACTAGTTTGATCAACCGTTCAATTTGACCAGAAAAGGATGAAATTACATTTAGGAGTTTGTGATCTACTGGTAGATCACAAACTACTTTTTGGGCACCCCTGATTTAGGATGATTTTGATAATGTTTTGTTTTTGGTTTTTTTTGCTGAACAAAGTAACGCTAGTACATAATTCGGTACCAGCAGAGTTGTTAAAGATAAAAAGATATTTTGGAATTCTCAAAATCTGTTTGATCTTCATGTGTATACGAGCCGCTGACAGACATGCATATGTAAGATAACTTGCCAAGAAGAATGGAGGGTCTATTATTTAAGGCCCTGGGCCACAATGGACTGGTGAGCAGCCCATCTGCAAAACAGAAGGATTAATTTAGGAACAACGTTACCAGAGTGATGGGCTAAACGTTGGCTCTGAAAACTAAAACAAGACTGGACTCCAGGTTTTCAAAAGTGTCAGCAGGTGCTGCTGAAGTTTGGAGATTGGTGACGATCCAGTTGAAGTATCCATTAGCCCTTCCGCAGCAATAATTAGCCCCTAATTCAGCAGTTTGCCTAATCCTAGCTTTTCAATGTCGTCACCATCACTGCAGCTGTTTTTTTCTGCAGGGTTGGCCACTCAAGAACATCTGCTGAGTCAAAGAGACATACTGGCTAAAATTTTTAAATTTTCTAAATCTAGTCAAACTTGAGCAGCATTTGTATCACAAATAAATACAGGGGGAAAAAAAAACAGATGTAGGTGATGACTGGAGGGGGAGGCTGGAAACAAGTTGTGCTTCAAAACAAACATGCCCTTCTTTGTTCTCAACTCACAGCCCACACTTTTCTCAGTCAGACACACATTCTACAATGTCCGCACACAATGCCAGACTAATTCACAAAGCAAGCTTAGAGAGTCTTTGGCACTCGCCCACACCAACTATTCCACATACATTCCGTCACAATCTACAGCGCGTGCATCGGCGGCTCAACAAGCCCCCGGTAGAAACGACAATCGAACCTCTGGCCACCGCAGCATAGTTTAACTCGAGAAAGGAATTTATGACACTTTACAGCTTGAGCTGATGCTGGACACAGATATGCACAAAAAACAAAAACACACAAAAAAAAGCTGGGAAAGTTTTTACAACGTGTACAAATGTACAACATGTGCATCATCTGTTTTACAGCTTCACCTTTAATCCTGTGCACACTCCTGGATACGGAGGAGAAGAGTCTAAACAACGAGTTCCAGGGTGGAGCTACAATCGCTGGCTTCAAATTCACTTGGGGTAGAGTATTCACACAGGCCCCCGGTGCCATATTTCTCCAGCCTTTTCCATGGAAACCACACACTGTTGCTGCCGCTGCCTTAAGCACACCACAAAAAAGAGGATCATATTTCTCCCTCGCTGCCCCCCCTTTAGGAGGGGTACCACCACCAGGGTCCAGGGCGAGCTGGAATGAAAGACTTCTGTGTCCAGACCTGGGCGGATGCTTGGTAGTTGCAAAAATAAACGCCCGCAAGGGGACTGAACAAGAGAAAGACACAGGAGTGTGTGGTGTGCCTTTATCGATGGACTCCCAGACAACACTCCATATCAAATCCCAACGTCAAGTCAGAGGAACAAGCGGGCAACGCAGGCATCGGTCGAACCCTCCAATCCACAGTCGAAGTAGTACCAGGTCTGGGTTGCTAGGTACGGTGTTGCAGCACCAAGAAACAGAAAAGGTCACTAATTTGCCTTCTCTTACACTGAAAGCCTTGCATTAGTCCGTAAGCAGTCAGCCAGCGTGTGGTCAACTAGCCACTCCCTGACTGCTGCCAGCCACTAGGAAGTGAGGGAAACGTTTCACTCTTGGTCGCTTTAGATTTTCATCAAAGTTCCAAATTTGTTTTTCCTTTTTGCCAGATTGTCAAGAGTTTCTGGGTTTGGCCTTCAACAAAAATATCCTTCTCCAAGTTTAAAAAAAGAAAAGAAAAATCGCAGGAAGAAAAAGGAAAGGAACGTTTCGCCACAGCACGAGGTGGCCGGACAAAAATTGCAATTGCAGGAAAAATACTCCTTCACTCAATAACAGACAAAGCCCTGCTCTCTCAGCTTCCTTTTAGAAGAAAGCTGCAGCTCACGGGACAGGAAAAGAAGGGAAAGTCCCCGACAAATTCTCACTTCACTCCCCCCCCACCAGGAAAAGAAAAAAAAAAACTTCTCTCAACTGTGCAGTTTTTACTTGAGCCATATTCCCTCTGTCCTCAAGAGCGAGGTGTCATTGCTGCTGGGTGTGTGTGTGTGTGTGTTTAGGACAGAGAGGCTAAGCCGGCATCCAATGTCAGTCTGAACAGAGCATGCTCATTCACACCCTTCCTCTCCCAGACTCTCTTGGCAGCTGCTCAACCAAACAGGCAAACTCTTCTCCTACGGAGGAGGAGGAAAAAAAAAAAAATCTCACAAAAAATCTCATCTAAAACTTACGTAACGTACAAATGTTCTTACCCCGACACATGCCGACCCGTGTCACTTCCATGTGTATACATTTCCCTTACATGCCTTTCGTGCACATTTTGCCTTTTTTCCTTCCCCCCATTGGTAGCCTCTCTCTCCCGCTCTCTCCCTCGCTCACAGCCCCCACCCTCGGCCTGGCTCTGTGGCTGTGGGAGTCTCAGATTTCAGCCCCGTCTGGCTGCAGGCGGTACCACCAGATGCCCTTGTTGACACCATACCTTTCCTTGATGCATTTTCCTGACGTTTGTCAGGCTGCGATGCATACGTACGACATTCCTACACCTCACAGCCAACAGTATAACAGCTTCGTTAAGACACTAAATAATTAAATGGCATTTCAAGCTCAATCGTGTAGGTGGCCCTAAACTGTTCACTTGTCAACCGTACCCTTCGCTGCCACACTGTCACCAAACATACAGAAAAGAGTCAGCCAGGAAAAGCAGTGAAACCAAAATAACGCAGAGAGCCAGAGTGTGTTCGTGCTCCGTTGGCAGGGCAGAAGAGACATGTCCAGCTTTATAAATACAGAATGAGTGGCTAAATCCATGAACACACTGCAATGAACCACCGTGGAGCCAGTCTTGACGTATCATATTAAGAGTTTATTGGTAAGAATCTGGCGATACGCATCACGATATGGGGCAACAACGTGATATATATATATTGCAATCCTAAAGGTGCAACAATACATTGAGGGTTTTTTTAAATGATTTAACTGTAGAAAAACTGTCAGCACAGAAAACACACTGTACTGTTACATGATTAACATCAAGTGTCTAAAATTAGGGAACTACATTTGGAATCGTTAGAGAAGAAATAAAATTAATTTGTAAAAGGATTTTGTAGATAAACAACTGAAAAAAGAAAAAAACTGACTCAAAGTCTCAAATACTTGAGGACACGAAATTAGGAGATATTTGTTTGATCAGACTTTATACACAATACTTTGTAAAGAACTTTCTATTCTATAAATTCAAATGCACCTTAAGGCTTTACAGACATGTCATGCAAAGCAGAAAAGGACACATTTTCGATGTAGCAAATAAATCGATTTCAAATTCACCATAAGTTGTCAAGATCTTTAGGTCTCGGCCAAAACCTAATCCTCGTAAACGTATTTGAAATTTCAAACACCAGTGCGATATCTTTGCGATGGCTAACTTCTAAAATACATTTTATCCAAATTCTGACTGAACATGAATTTCATATCGTAACATTGTTTTTTTTTTGTCTCCCTCATCCAGAGCTCGTGTTTATTTCAGTTAAATGTTGAAACCCAAACCACGCATCCCTGGTTTCTCATGTGGACTTCATCCATAACTGCCAAGCTGCGTTCAGGAACTACTAATTATAATGTCATGCAGATATGACATGTAGTACAAAAGATGGGGAAATCACATCTGCGCTGCTGTCTTGTTTTTCTTTTTTCTTTT